ACAGGCAGTTGCATGAGATAAGGGCCAATCAGGTCCTATCCTGTTATGATCAGCTACAAGAAGATGTAAACCACTAAGTAAATGTGACTTACTTCACTTGGAGTTATCATCAATTAAGTCAGGGTTTAGAGTCTAATTATATATTCCATAAATGGATTCCAGATTCTAATGCATTTAATGTGAATCTTAGTTTCCAAGTTTGAGATGTTGCATCACTTCTCTCAACCACTCAACCACTGAGTCCATCTTAGTGGATGAGCATTCTTGCAGTGGAGAGGAATTAATCTCCAGTCTAATAAAGTGACAAATTTTCTTATTTTGAGTTAAGATCCTGAAAGATTCTTATTTTCCCTTCCTGCTATGCCAAAGATATCTGTCAAAAGGTCTGGGTGACTTTTCATTTTAAAAATATCTGATAGTGTTAAAAGATTGAATTCCAATAAGTAGACAAATTATGCCAGCCAGCCAGAGTGTGCTAAAGATGCAGTCTGCACCTGTCACAAGTGGAATCAACATATGGGAACATTTTAGAGAGTTTGACTTTTAAGAAATAAAGGCGATGCAACAGCTTAAATTGAATGAGGCCACGCCAGGTGCAGATAGAGGCCTTGTAGAGCCCCTAGGGGGCTTTCCCCTACTGCTCCACTGGCACAGGACTCAGTTTTATCAACACCTCAAACCAAACCATCGAGATCACAGGAGCAAAACTCTCATAATTTTATTATAACATTGGACATTTGTCAGTGACAGTGAAGTCATCATATCTGCTTATGTTAATTAAAATTTGCAAGCAGTTACCTCAAACAGTATTCCTATTTTCTTTTGTTAATATTAGTTTATCCCTTTTCATCCTTTTCTCTCATCTGCTTGTTTCTGTTGTCCTTCCTCTTCCTCTTTTCTTCTTTCCTCCGTCACACCCATCACTTTGTTCCTCCTGAGGATGGCCTTTGACGGGAAGCAGGATTATTAATCATCCTAACATCATCCAGAGCTCAGGGTGTGTGCTGTCTGGTTGTTCAGAATGACCTGGTCAGAGGTCAGAGGTCACGCTGTGATTACAGGCTGCCGGCCAACAGTGGCTCATTACAGGACAGAGCAACAGCTGCTCGTTAAAACTTTATTTATCCGGGGAGATCTGACACAGCTCTGCCCTGCTTCTTCCACATCTGCATATTTAAAATGTGAGCAGACCGGTGCAACCAGTTTGCTGCTGCCACTCACTGGGCAGCATCAGTCAGAAGGAAGTTTGATGATGATGATGATGATGATGTCTCCTGCAGAAAACATTTTGACCCGTCATTTCTTCAACTTGCATTTCCTGCTTTTTAAAGATGAATTAAATATTCTGACCAGACATATGTGTGCTTGAAAAATGACAACAGCACTCATACATTGGGCCTCTAGCAAGAAGTGATATACGGACAAATTTTCTCTGGCTTTTGTTCGGATCCACAATTTGTTCTTATTTTGTTAATACCCAGATTTCTGGGATTCACCAATGTTTTCTTCCTTATGCTCTTCTCTTAGCTCAGAGAGCATTTAACGAGTAGTTCAGAGCACTCTGACCAAGATAAGAGAAAACATCTTGTTTTCACTGTCCAATAAAAGTTGGTCCAATGTGAGGAAAAATAGTTTTTAAATTTATGAAACACAAAAGAATGCATGAATATCATGCAATAGATATTAAGATTATGATGTGTTCAAAAGGAACTATACTAATTAGGCTATTGAATTCATGGGCGAAAGAAATATTACTATAATTGGTCTATTGATCCAAGTTACTGTACTTTCAATTACTGTACTCTCTGCTGACCAGTGCTGAAATGTAATTAAGTACATTTACTCAAGTACTGTACTTAAGTACAAATTTGAGGTACTTTTACTTAACGTATTTTAATCTCATGGCACTTTCTACTTCTTCTCAACTACACTGCAGAGGGAAATATTGAACTTTTTGCTCTGCTACTGTTTTATTTGAACTTTAGTTACTTTGCAAAGTAAGATATTTTTTGTTTGCGCACAAACCACAAATATAAAAAAAGAATTAGTCGAATCATTAGAAAATTAATTGGAAACTATTTTGATAATTGTTAATTTTTCAAGCAAAAACATTTCATGGTTCCAGTCTCTCAAATATGAGGACTTGCTGCTTTTTATTTTAATTAGTTTAATTATTTAGATTTTTTTTTCATGCATTGAGCACTTTTATTTTTAAGACTTAATCAATCAATCAATCAATCAGGCAATCAATCAATCAATCAATCAATCAATTTCATTTATAAAGCCCAATATCACAAATAATAATTTGCCTCAGATGGCTTTACAGCATACGACATCCCTCTGTCCTTTGGACCCTCACAGCGGGTAAGGAAAAACGCCCCCAAAAAAACCTTTAACGGGGAAAAAAATGGTGGAAACCTCAGGAACAGCAACTGAGGAGGGATCCCTCCCAGACAGATGTGCAATAGATGTTGTACAGAACAGATCAACATGATAAATTAACAGTAATCCGTATGACAAAATGATAAAGAGAGACAGAGACCGAGAGAGATGCAGGACAGACAGTAATGACAGCTTACAACAACACTAATTTAAGTAATAATATTACAATAATAATTACGGCTATTGTGGTACAATATGTTGTAGGTACATATTAATATATGATAGTATATGTGTGTGACAATAATCATACGTGTAATGACAGTAGAAGTATGACTAATGATAACAGCAGCAGTACCAGGCATCAGGCAGGACCACGGCAGCAGCACAACCACGTCACGCCATCCCGGCACAGCTGTGATACGAGTTAACCTGCCACACAGTGGAGCACAAAGGCTCCGGAGAAGAAGCCAAGTTAGTGACATGCAGTAATAGGACATAAATGTTAGCAAAGGAGAGAGAGAGAGGGAAGGAGAGAAGGTGCTCGGTGTATTATAGGTGGTGTATTATAGGAAGTCCCCCGACAGACTAGGCCTGTGTCAGCCTAACTAGGGGCTGGTCCAATGCAAGCCTGAGCCAGCCCTAACCATAAGCTTTATCAAAAAGGAAAGTCTTTAGTCTAGTCTTAAATGTGGAGACGGTGTCTGCCTCCCGGACCGTAACAGGAAGATGATTCCACAGGAGAGGAGCCTGATAGCTGAAGGCTCTGGCTCCTGATCTACTTTTGGAGACTTTAGGGACCACGAGTAACCCTGCATTCAGAGCGCAGTGTTCTAGTGGGATAATATGGCACCATGACCTCTCTAAGATATGACGGAGCTTGACCATTTAAAGCTTTGTAAGTTATAATAATAATAATAATAATAATAATAATACTAGTACTACTACTACTACTACTACTACTAATAATAATAACAACCATAATAATAATGATACAAAAAATAAATAAATACAAATAAAACAGCAGGTGGGTTGTGATAGTAATGGGGGAATGACACTGTAAAATAAATTCAAATAAAAGTAAGTTTGATATTTATATGTGTCAGCTTGTAGTATGAAGGCAGCCTGGTAAGACCACCCTGATGCCGTGAGCTCAACATTTTGTTTCAGTCTGGACTCGGCCAAACACTTTCAGTGGGTGGGAGTACTCACCTTGACAGACAAACTCCTTCAGCATATCAGTGGTGAAACAACATTGGATTTGTATCAATCTGTTAATTTTGGCAGCTAGCTTAGATTTAGTCTTAGTCTTGAGACAAAAGTGCTTATTAGTTCTAGTCACATTTGAGTGATTTTTATCCTTCATAGTTTTAGTCTAGTTTTAGTTGATGAAAATTCAAAATATTTTAATCATTACTTTAGTCACTATGTGTTCTATATGTTTTTTATATTTTTTTCCTGATATTTCCAAAAACAGCTAGATATCCAGATATTAGAATCAAGGTGACAGGTTGTGTAAAAATTTTATTTAGACAATTTTTATGTACAACTACAAGTATTTTCTGCACACTTACAAACTGTCATTTCTCCAGCAGTTTTTGACAGGTTTAAGGGGTGATTTACAACCACACACTTACTAATGATCTTTTGAAAAGCTCAACATCTCTCTATTTATGGTCTCAAAAACTTTGACACCTCAAACAACTAATCTGAGACAACTACTATGGGATTTGTACCCAGGGTCACTGTAAACTCTGACTTATCCATCTCACCGTTAACGCAGAAAAATAACTTTATTAAAGCCTGAATTCTTTCTTAATCTGCAACATGTTAGTCTGGAGGTTTAAATCATGCCCTCTCAGAGAGCTAGTGATTAAAACTAAACTTTCATCTCTGTCAGAGAAAACTGCTCAGAGTTCAGACTGTTAACTTATAGCACAGCTACACTCACAGATAACTGAGCCTTCTACCTGCCTGTCAAACAGCATCAAATCATAAACCTTCTCAAGTCCAGACTGAAAGGAGTCCTGCAGGGATCAGATGTGAAGTCTGGTGGCCGGTGCCTGCTTGCTATGCTGCCATTCAGCCAACAAACTCGGTTGCTGATTTACTGCTGAATTTCAGCTCACAACTCGCATTAACGGCTGACGTTGCTCGAGTGCGATTGTTTTTGCTGGTGTGCGAAACATCCTGCTGCAGACTATTTACTGAAATTTATCAGCCGGTCACTCATGCAGCATTTGAAGATGATAACAAGCACGGCCATTCTCGGCTTTCAATGTCTGATAGTCTGTAACATTTTCATCACTGCAACGGAAATTAAACATTGATTTCATCTTAGTATTTATTATTAAGATCTATTTTTAGCTAGTCATTAACTAATTTCTGTAATGGTAACAAAAAAGGTTGTTGACAAAACAGTTTCATGATAGTTTTCATCAAAAAAATGGTATCACTGGTATCAGAGAACAGCGTAGCCACAAATTTAGCGACTTATTCACAACATCAGGGTAACAGCAAGAAATGTATTCAAACACATTTCATAATCATGCATGCTGTGCAGAATAATCGCAGTCCACAGTTCCTCTGCTGAGTCTCTCCCCCTCTCTTCTTTTAAGCAGCAGCACTGCACAGGGACCAGCTGGGCCTGGGGCAGGCACAGGGTAAGTGGGTTTGGGTGGACGTCGCTAAGCATCCTTCATGACTCAGCCTTCTTTGAGAACTGTTTGTTAATAATCTTATGCTCCCAGTCTAGACAGGCAGACAAGACAAACGGCACAGTTAGGTCAGTTCCCAAAGTCACACAATAACACAAACTAACTGCCTGATTAAGGGACAGCAAAAAAACAGAGACTGTCTGTAGTCTGTGGAATAAAATGTTTCTATCAATGGAGTCTGGTGGCTTTGAAGAGCGCATAATGTTGCATTTGACGTGTACACTTTGTTTTTTAGGTGTTCATATTTTATGTGGCTAAAATGTGTTTTGCTGCTGTCCCTGTCCAAAGTCACCAGACTCCTTATACAGAAACACAAATTCAGTCAGGAGAACAGTGAATACGTCTTTTCCTCTGAGAAACCCCGCAATGTATAATTGTGTTTTTGTTTAATTGTTATTGGCTTTAATCTTGCAATAACTTCACTTAGTACTGTGTTTACTCCACTGACGTCAGAGCTTGTTGCTTCGGGAGCTGCCATTACTGTTCTGCAAGCTGCAGCCTGCATTTTACATCATCAACTACAACGCAGTCTCTGATTGGCTGCTTACATTGTCAACTACGATGCAGAACCTTCATTGGCCCGACTGAATTTTAATTTCTAGAAATTTTTTAGCGGAGCAGCGAGTCCAGTCTGATACAGAGAGAGAAACAGAGTGCTGATCTCACGTCATTATGATGGTCTTACTAGGCAAGTATCAATGGTCCTGGCACGGATGTGGAGATGGGGGTGGTATCACTGGCAGTGGGAAGAGGTTATTAGTGTCTGTGCGTATGTATGTATGTACACTGGTTTGTGTTAAACAGGTTTGCAAGTAACATTGATATTGATGAACAGGACCCAACATCTGCGAAATTATTTTTTTTATTGTCATCTCCAGCAGTTAGAGCTCTTACAGTGGATCTCTTGAATTTATTAAAGTTTGGTCTTGATAATATGAACATATACTTTAAAAACAACATAGTCCCTTTAAACATATTTTGGAGTCAACACCAGCAGTTAGCAGAATGAAGTTTTATTCTTTCTGAAATATTCAGACATGGTGAGGGTGAAATGCTCCTCAAAGGACAGAAGAGCAAAACTTTGAGAAATCTGAACCGGAACCATTAGTTCATATGCTCCTTCTGAGGGAAATATTGGTCCTTAAGTAACTCTGAGACCCTGTTGTACATGTTAATGAAAGACCCAAGAACACTTTTGGTCCTCATCAGATCCATGAGGACAGTGAACATCATTTATTAGACTTTACAATTCCTAAACCACCCAGATTACAAGTACACCACAGGAGTTCAGAGGTCAGACATCCAGAACATGGTTGTGACCTCTGAGTGACTGTGTGGAAAAGAAATAAGCCGGGGTTCTTTGTTGACAGTAATCAGAGTGGGAGAAGGATGTGATGGAGCAGAGGGAGGGTAATGTAAGGAAATAATCAGTTGGAAATCCTCAGTGGTCATAGGAAAGCAGCTCTGGGACATCTGGGAAAGTGCGAGAGGTGGATTTGATAAAATCCAGGTATGCTATGAAAGTATGAGAACCTTACAGAGTGAATATGAAAACATGTAGTGACAGATGATGTGGCGGAGAGAGGAGGAGGAGGAGAAGGAGGACGCTGAGAGTTAGAACAGATAAGATGAAACTTGATCTGAAAGGCGGGGATGAACTCAGGCTGACTCTCTTAACCATCCTCCAGCCATGATGTTATTACTGCTCTGTAAGGAGCGAATGGTGACCACATGACATCATGTTATTTACATGTTTATGCCTGTGTTTCTTATTGTTTAGCCTGTAATCAATAATTTGTGGATCTGCACTGTAAACTGAGGACGATCCCCTCAACGTCTCCTCATTTCTGCTGTCATTCTAAATGCAGCCACAACCCATAATCAATTCATTATTATCATTTCAATCAGGAGAGACTCGTTTTTAATGGTAAAATAATATTTATTAACATGTGAATGTATGAATAAGAATGTGGAAAGTCTTTGGCGATTAGGCCCCATAGAGATGATTTGATTTAAGGAGGGTGATGAATCCATAGTCGTACAGGGAACCCCCCAAAAGAAGAGTAAGGAGGGAGAGGGACAGCCGACCATTTGACATGAGGTGATCTTTACCTTACCAGCAGGCAACAGGATTCTAATAAATAAGTAAAGATAACATTAAGGGGAGATGCGTAGCTAGAGAAACGCACATGAAGCAAATGTGAAAGACTATGGAATAGATACATGTATAGTTAGGTATATGACAGAAATAAGCCCTGAATGAGATAATACAACTCTAATGAGAAACGTGTGGTAAGAATATGTCTGGAATGACAGCTAGGGAGCTGCAAAATAATGGATGATGATAGATGATACATTGAAAAGGAAAGCAGAGAGCAAACGTGTTGAGGTCTAACCACCAAACAATATAAAAGCCAAAGATTAAGTAAGCTGTGACAAGAAATAATGGTGATATGCCAGAAAGAAAGGCTGAAAAGTGCATGGCTCTGCAGACCATGAGGGTCTATATTTTGAACATAATAAAAGGTCAGTGAGGACCAACTGAAATAAAACGTCATAAACAGAAATTAAGGTCAGAAGACCAACTTAGATAAAATGCTAAAAAGAACATTAAGGTCCGGCGACCAAACTGAAATTACCGTGACTGGTGCGAGGTCCTAGTGACCTGGGCCTATATGTAGAACATAATAAAAGGTCAACGAGGACCGAACATAAATGAAAGGTCATGAAACCCAACAGAAGTTAAGGTCATGAGACCAATTCAAATAAAATTAAAGCTGCAAGCAGCGATGAACGGGACTTCGGGCTCTCGCTGTCGGCCTCCAGCTCACATAGACAGTGTGAATTATGTGTAAGAGTCAAAATATCGATAAAACAAGCAATGTCAAGAGAACGCAAGGTCATTTTTGGCAATAGAGGGACTTTATATTACAGTACATTACAATATGTATTTAATTTTCAACCAATGTATTAACTAAAATGTAACTGCGATATGTCAGCTATGGAAACAAAATGTCTTGTCCAAAACATCCATATTGAAATGAAATACACTGTCATGATTAAGTAATTATATAATTTTAACAGTAACTAGGGCTGTACCCAAATATTCAGATATTCGAATATTCATTTCTATGGTAGGTATTCGTTATGAAAATTTGGTATTCTTATTTGTTTTTTTATTTACTTATTTTTTTCTTTTCTTTTATTTTTTTTACATATTTTTTTGGTGCTAAATGTAGTCTTTTTGTTGTTGGTGAATGTAGGTTATCAATAAAAATAAAAACTTAAATTGCATCGTTAAAAATGTGAAAATATAGTATAGCCTGCCAATGGAGCTTGTGCGCACAGCACAATGGCACAATGGATCGATGCCAAGTTTTACCACTTTATCACTATTCCCTCTAACTTGTAGCTGTTTTTTCGTTATCTTTTGAATTTAGTATGAATTATGGAACCGTTTTTGTCAACGTTTGTTTCCCCTGTTTTGTACAATAAATTATTGTTTAAAGTTTCAACAAGTTTCTTTTGGAGTGCGTGACACAAGTGTGTTTTGAAAACGACCGCGGACTGTCACCTGCTCAACGCATCAGGACCTTCGGATGCCATGACAGTAACAGATTATAGATTAATAGATGATAATAATAATGTCAAAATATAATTTACAGACCGATTTAACAGACGATCACTGCTGCCCGACCCGCAGGTCCATTTGCGGGTCCCGCGGGTTACGGGTCGACCCTTGCATCACTACTCAGCTCAGTCTATAAGGCTGTACACAACAGTAAGGCTATAGACATATTCTATTCAGGCCGGCAGAACCAGCAGCGCATCGGCTCTACAGTGCACGGCACTGCTGATTAACCATTTTATTGCAGCACAGAGTGTCTGCCAGCAACCAATTACTTGCAAAGGCTTCCTACAACTTGTTTCAACAGTTCCGATTTAATCAGAAGACAAATTAAACAGGATGACTAGCCAATGTGAAAATCAAAAGAAAGCATAGAATAATGTACTGAAGGAGACTGTTGTGCCATCACATTTTTTGTGGTTTGAGAGCAAAGATCTGGTCACCGCTGTGCAAAACTCCGCAATACAATTAGGTCCGAAAAAACCCCGGAGTCCGCTCCCAGAGTGAAGCCATTGTTATGCTAATTAATGACAGCATGTAGTTGAGTGAGAGGAAGGGGGAGAGGCCAAGAACTTGAAGATGGCTTTCAAATTTCTCGAACTAGTCCTTCCTGCTCCCAAACCGTGGGTCCGATCGTCAATCTGAAGATATCACCAGAGAGATACACTCGTTCCGAACGCAGACATATATAGCTTTCATGTTTGTGAAGTCAAAAAAGTGATCTTAGTCGCAAGTTTACAATGTCTGGCTCACAGCTGACACATTTGCTCATGTTAATTTCAGAGGCACTAGCTCATTTCCTGTTGGATTTAGGTCAGTGGTGTCAATGAGTGATTTGTAGGTCTTGAGGAGACAAAGAAGCCAGTTTTAGCTGGATCTTTCTATGTCATTCCTACAGGTCGCAACAGCCATTTTAGTGTGTCTAGGTGGTGCAAAAATTGTCAAGAGGTTTTGTGACATGTCACCTTTAAGAGGGCATAAAATCCAAACTGTTCGACTAATGACAAAGTTGTTTAGAGGAATTGTTTAGCAGGGCTTGGTCTGTCATGTGTGCATGTTTGAAGTCGATACGATAAACGGTGTAGGAGGAAATATTTTTTTAGTAAGAGAATTTTTGAAAAATGACATCTTACTTTGAAAGGGCAAATAGCTCACTTCCTGTTGGATTTAGGTCAGGGCTTGCAGCATGTGATTTGTAGGTCTTGATGAGATGATTTTTGAAGAAATTTTGAAAAAGAGCATTTTTGAGGCGAAATCTTACTTTAAAAGGGCAGTAGCTCACTTCCTGTTGGGTTTAGGTCAGGGGTATCAGAGCGTG